AAAGATTTTGGTTACGGAAAATTTATGGCCTGAAAAAAGTGCCGCGGCGGTCGCCGCGGCTGCCGCGGCAGTTCCGACGCCCTTGGCTTTGAACCTATGTGTAACTTATCTCCAACGCATATTGACGTATGTAGACGTATTTGACGTGTTCCAAACGACCACAGAACTTACTGAACGTGTTTCTAACTTACAGCTACCGTATAATGGCGTATTGGCAGCGTTTAGGGGAATTGGCATATAAAAATGGTATTGGCATGTTGATACTGCGACGGTGATATTGATACTGCGATGTCTAGTGCGGTTATGATTTGAATCGTCGAGCGGCAGCCTTTTTATAGGCTACGACACGTGATCGTCGGCGATACGCTGCCGCGCGCTATGCATAAGTTAGACTATCGTTGCGCATAAGCTGTGAACGCCGGCAACACGCTAAGCATTCGTTGGTATAAGTTATCTATAAGTTATCGAAACGTTCTATAATACGTTACTAATACGTTAAGTATACGTCCAACTCGTTATGAATACGCTATGTATACGCCCAAAATTGAAAAAAACATCGATAGTTCAGCGTATGCCAGCGTTTTAGAGAAATTTTGATACGTCCGGCATACGCTGGCTAAATCGTCAATGTGTGACAGGGCCATTAATGCAGTTCATATGCTCCTATGCAACACATGAGTACGCCGCACGCACGCCGCTGTGCACAAACAACAATCACGAACAACAAAAAACAAGAAAAAAAGCTTTAAAAAACGTTATTCTTGTTGTTTGTGCACAGCGGCGTGCGTGCGTTGTACTCATGTGTTGTAGAGGAGCATTTGAACGGCATTTCCATGAAATTATCAGCAATAATAGGTGAAAGAGAGTAGAGAAGCATTGAAACTGGTAGTAAATACATTTCGTGTTTATTTGCCATAATTTTTTTTATTGAGACGTCCCAAGTGCCTGTGAGCGTGTGTATGATGTCATCGTGGCGTGCCATGCGAGGCGCGACTCGGCGCAAACAGTCGCCAGCGTGACACGTACATCCGCTATGTTCGCATCCGACGGTGTTTTTGTCGGACCTCGCGCGAACGACGTCGGGTTTCGAGCGCCGCTTTTTGCTGTTTTCATGAGGAAGGTGTACATAATTGGAAGCTCGTTGGTGACGAGTGTCATTATATCGACGTGTTAGCTTTCGCGCCTGCGCCGGACATTCCTGCACATACTGCCATACGTATCGTACTTTACGCGTGTGCGTTTGTGATGTAACTTTGACCTGGGAGGCAGGCCTACAAAATAGCGCTACTCGCGTTCGCTTTGTGCGGCACCGTCCGACTAAGCAGTTCGGGCTTGGATCGAATATATGCACACGCTCTTCTAGACACAGTGGCGACCTTTAACTATTGCAGAAACTTAAATAAAATGAAATATAAAGAACGTCCAAGGTAAAGTGTGGCATACAAAAAATAATAAACCAAGCTTTATGCATATATATAGAATCCCACCCACCCTATCCCGCCTGATGGTGTAATCGTCCTTGCTCGCCTGTCGTTCTGTAGACAGAGCTGGCAGTGCTGTGGCAGTGACATCTGTCGAGCTAAATTGAGTTCATCATGGCGTAAAACCGTGTGTGCTACTTCGTTCCGTGTATGTGTTGCGCAACAGTAGAGCGTCCATAGGCAGCAAGCCTGAATAAGCGTCGAACAAAAATTAATTAAAAATAATTTGAGAGTGTCGGCGCATACACAAAATACATTTTGTTTATATCGAACAACCCTATACTAGATCCAATGTCCAAACTCTGTGTGAAACATTTGCCTGTTACGTTTTGTGGGTTTCTAACATGTGGTCGAATCCCCAGGGCTGTAACACTGTGCAGTGGCGAACAAAAGCCGGGCGCAAGTACGCCGCTACGGTCACGAGTGTGTTATCATAACTCTTCAGCTGTGAGTGCAGGTGCGGCATCTTAGCCGACATCAAAGACAGGCGAGGGTCAGTGTAAGCACAAAACGGCGGACCGGTCACCATGGCTACGCCACTTGACGGAATGGTCCAATTACACGACAAGACCAATCTCACTTTAAATGCGTTCTAGACGTCGTCCATAAGGCATCTACTTTGCGTGCATAATGCAGATTAGTGCACTCTAGTGGCGAATATTACCGAAAAAAAAGGCCTTTTCCAGAAGCGAATTAGTGCAACATTAGTAAACCATTTGTAGAAGGCTACTGTTGCTTGCCCCCTATATGCGTACCTTGAAAACCTTTGAAAACCTGTAGAAATACCGTGGCATAACCAAACATTTACATGCGGTCAAGTACCAACAAACCGGTAACTACAAAATAAGAAAAAAACACATGAAATGGTAGAATGATCAATTGGATCAAGTTCTATACCAGGTTACATGTACTCGTATGGCTGTGGGAAAACCGTTGTCGTTTTAACGTGTATTGTGATTGTTATTTTAATATAATGTTTTTACTGCATGCAGCCAGTGGATGAAGGCAGCAGGTAATGTGTGGTAATGGGGAACTATTTCTAATTGTGTTTATCACAGGTTTCAGAATGGTGCTTTTTTGTTTTGCAAACCATTTCTCAACGTCCACAAAGTTCGCACATATTTCAGCACATCTGTAGCACTTGAGGTTGTTCTTATATGATCCATGACTGTCAAGTGCCATTCTATGTGTCCTAAGTGTCTTGGTTTGCATACGGTTTCTGTAACTCATGTGAAGTTTTAGTAACTTCCCTTGAGCTTATAATCATAGATCAAAAGGTGTCTCATGGTGCATGTTTTTGTTTGAGGGCTTGTTAAGTTTGTGTGGAGTTTGTGGTAAGTTATTTTTTTAGCAGTGATTTGAGTATGTCAGTTTGTATAATATACATTTCAGGCTTGACCCTAACTCTACTGCACACTTGGCGAAATCGACACCCGACTCGCCTCTCCTCGTTCCCTGTCCTGTGATTGGTTGCCTATGCAGCAACTGCATGTCGGGCTCTTGTCGGCGCCTACCTGGGAACAAGATCTCAGCAAGGTGAGTGCTGGTATGAACGGTCGTATCTCGTTGTGTTTGCTCTCTGATGAACGATCATCAGTGTATCATATTGACGCATGTGCTATATGTCGGGATACGAGATGTACGACAGAGCCATGGCTTGTAAATGTCATGTGGTTTGCTCATCCAAGGAGATTACCACACTGGTTATTCTAGCCTTTGGCCTTATGTTCGTGTGTTCGCGTGAATCATGGTCGCCAAGTATTCCTCCCTCAGCATCAGTTCCTCCATGGAATAGCCGTGATTAAACACCGGCATCTCTCTTGTTTTTAGCAGCAGGCTGCGCACAAAGCTGAATGACAGGGTTACCACGAAGAGTGAGCTGACAGGCTGTGTAAGATATATCGGCCATGTGGACGGGAGTGGTCACAAGGACATGATATATGTCGGATTAGAGTTGGATACGCCTGGTAAGAAGGAGAAGTGTGCATGCTGTTGCATCATCGATTTAATGAAGTTTGCTTGATTGTATTAAATGTGGGTGTCATGTTTGTCACTTGTAACATGGAATGCCACCCTCTGGTAACGTGGGTTCCTAGTCATTTTTATTCAGGAGAAGGATTAGGAACAAATCTAAAAGCATGGCTTTTTATTATCGGGCCTGCACTGATTAGTGGACACTAGATCGAATTTTGTCACATCTTTTAATGTGCCCGACAGTTTTTTAGTAGTGTACTCCAGGGCACACCACCTTTAACGTTCTGTAATGCTACCCTTCACTGACCCCTATATATATGATGAATAAAGAAGAAGAAGAATGCTACCCTGATGACAGCAGTCTGTGTGACTTGGTATATTGATAATGTAGTTGTTTTTCGACCTTTATTTTAGTGGGTCAACACAATGGCTGCCTCAATGGAAAACGCTATTTCCAGTGTGCAAAAAAGTATGGAGTATTTGTGCCTGTCAATGATGTACTGTACACCATTCATGAATCAAAAGTAAGTGTTGCTAATGTACGGACTTTTCATGTTTTTGTGGTATTCTTTAATAATGTGGGCTCACTGCCCATGCATATTTCATTGACACATTGACACATTTAGCCAACTGTTATGTCCAGTCGGGCCGTAAGGCACTGAACTAGTCAGATCAAATCTCCGCTGACTCAAACATCAACCAGTACGAACGGCTGCCATTGCAAGAAGAAAGTTCTACTTTATTACAACGAAGTCACACGTACCACACATACTGGATACCACTGCGCGCAGCCATACTGTTACATCATTGAAGTGCAATAATGTATGGCAATGCTAATCAAAACCTCTATCCCCCGCTCCCTTCACTTGTCAAAATTCTACATCCACCCCACTACTATCACCATTCACAAGCTGGCACACACCCCACACCCATAAGATAGAAGCCTCCAACAGTACCAAGCAAACGCCACCCCCACACCCATCACCAGTTACAAGCCAACGTCTCCTCTCTTCCATTACCAGTTACAAGTCTACACTCCTCACCTCTCACTAATTACAAGTCTATATACTCCCCCCCCCCACTCCCATCCTCAGATAGGAGCCTACATCTCTCATTTTAGGCAAATTACACCCAAGCCAATGCCCCCTCCCCCACTCCCGTCATCAGTTATAAGCCACCATAATACCCTCACTCCTATCACCAGTTACAAGCCATTGCCCCCCCCCCCCCATCACCAGTTGCAAGACCATGACCCCCGCCTGCTGTCACCCCACATTATTGAGATCCTACCTCTAGTGGCACGTGAGAGATCGTCTCATGGTGGCGTTAAGCTAGCATCTCAGCCTGCATCTTTCTTTGCTGCAGAGCGTCGTGGCATGCGGCGGGCGTAGAGCGGCGGCCATAACACTGCCCAGACGCAGCAAGACGCCCATGCAGGAGCTCGTCGAGACGTTGTGAGCGCACACCTGCGCACCTCTAAACATCCCCGCCGACAATCGGCGATCACGTGGCTGTCCATGTGGCGCCCCCATTACGAGAGGCGCCACCTGGCTGTCGTTGCTGTAGAATACACGTTCGACAATCCATCGCCGTGCGTCGTGGCGATGGCGTTTAGCTGCTTGGTGTGTCACGTTGTAAAAACAAGTTGTTGTGTTCAAGAAGGCCCACTATATTAAATCTCATCATATCATGTTATATGATATATTATGACATATATGTTATCAGGGGTGTCACATATGAGAATTTGTCATTATTAACTCCTAATGTTATGTGTATATGCTATGTTGTGTGTGTATATGATGTAATGTGTGAAGTTGTGTTATTATTATGTTAGGCCACCCTTTACATATTGCTTTCTTGGTGTCTACTGGCAACCGTCAAAATCCTATCTTCTAAGGAGTTTTTTTATTGTGAATGTTTTGTACCTGTACATGTATATGACTATATTATCTGTATGGTGAATTATATATTTTTGGGATGGCCGTCCCTGAATTGCTAAGTGGGGTATCTACAAATATGTAAGATTTTTCAGGTTGGCGCTCGGAAGGGTAACCATAGTGACATTTTTTCTATTCGACACTCTCTTTCCTTCTGTTACATGTGTTAGAACATGTTATTTCTGGAATGGTGCAACCTTGTTTTTTTGTAATAGTATAATAATATAATACTTATTCAGAGTGGAATTCGAGATTGGACCAGGTTCAGGATCAGAACTCTATCATTTAGTGGCCTGTATTTACCATGTACTTACGTGTAAAACATATAGATATGTTTGTAGAATCTGAATCCTAATCGTGACTATGAGTTTCACATAATGTGACGGATTAGGAAAATCGCACGCAATTGTGTTTACAATGATGAATCTGATTTCGAGAATACCCTTCCGGATATTCATGCCACCATGTGTTTTTATGCTTACAATGCGTAGCTACTTTGAAATGTTAATGTTTCCATGTTCCGATGTTTTCTACGTTTATTTGTAGGCTGTTAGTGTTACATATCGCGTTTACGGTCACAGTATTACACGTTTTATCGGTAAAAGTTGACCTTCTTATAAGTTTGTAAATTGCAATCATTGATGATTTGATGACGTTAGACTGATTCTCCAGTCAGAAAGAATTTATGTTGACTCTTTGCATTGTTACTGCGCGTTTTAGACCGTGCTAACTGCCTGTGTTTACACGAGGCCTATGTAAACCAGTACGTGATGCTGCGTGGCCACCCTTTGGTCCTCAAAAGCTGGTGACAGGCAGCGAGAGACAGCAGCAATACAACTTCAATTGTCGTTACCCTTGGCCTTGCCAGATGTTCAGCGGCAAACGATGGTTGTATGTAGAGTGCGTCAGGCATTCACTCTGTCATCTACTGCGTTTGCTGTCCAGTCCCGGTGATAGGCCAATCATGTGTATTACGTTGTTCGTTTTTACTTCGCAGGTCGCGGCGTTTTCGACGCCCGGTTTTTACGTTTCCCGCTGCGTTGTTAATGATATGTAGGGTATGGCTTCAGGTTACAGGGTGCTTCTCCTGCCCCTCCTCCCATCCAATGACATGCAGATTCTGTGACGCTGTCCCTCCCGACCATTGTGACTATGCGCATCCGTATGACACTCTAAACGAATGCACTTGTTTGCACTCGAACTATAATTGCTATATACTCTTATACACACATATATATATATATATATATATATATATATATATATATATATATATATATATCATTGTATGTGTGCTATTGCAGAGTGACATCCATACAAGATGCTAAGTTTTTGTTTTGTATGGATATTTCCCATGTTGGGGTGGAAGATCCAAACCGTGTGTGCTCAGATGGTCATTAGGTTGGGGCAGCAGTTGCAGATTATCTGTGCAGCTTCATATTAGAAGTTCTAGTGATAAGGTAATAAAGTTGCACACGTTGCAATGGTTAATAAGTTTCTACTTTTCGACTCTAGTGTTGAACGGCTTAAACAACTTGTAGTGTTTGCGTATTTTCATTCAATGTTTAGCAATGATGTGGAGCAAAATCTCACTGTCAACCATTAACAGGATCATGCACATAGATGGAACTTTGAAAGTCGTCCTATGGTCCACGCTGCATAAATGCGGTTTGAACTCAATTTTATAGTGAATATGCACCACTAGATAGTAGAAAATTTATTTTTTGAATGATGTCAGTTTTCATTTATGTTTTGCATGGAGAAAACCTAGCCCCAGAGGTATTTTACGAATAGAAAAATATATATACATACGTTTTTAAGAAATTTATGTAACATTAAGCTGCAGTATATAAGAAAAACATCTAATGGTGTGTACGAGTATTTGCACAAATTTGCATGCACATAACAAATCTATTAGTAAGTGAGTATAGTAGGGTTTCTAAAACTATTGGTGAACTTGTGCGAAATCGGCATTTTTTCGAACTAGCAAGAGGGCAGTCACATTTTCTGCCTATAAGCAAGCTCCTGTTGCCGGGGACAGTAATGTTATCGGCATATGAATTTATAGCCAAAAACTATTACCAACCAGGTTAGATGTGGCTGACAAGGACTAGTTGGAAAATGGATGCGAGTTTACAGGGTTGTTCTCGAGAAACAACGGCCTCTAAGCAAGGTATTTTGAGTATCGAGTGTACAATCTATGTGAAAAGTACTACAGTTATCTGATGCCAACGGTAGGGTTCATACAAATTCCTACAGCAGTATGCTAGTGCGAGTGAGTATTCATGGTTATATTAAAAGTAATATCCCTTTACACTCCACTTCTATGTATAGACGTACTCTGCCAGCGTGTTTTTCCTTCACATCTTTATTTATTTTTTTAAGTTATCTTAATCACTTACCTGTGAATTCTCTAGCATCATCCCCCAATCAGCCTCACCAAATTTTCAATGTAACAGGTAAATAGTACAAGTAACATTATTTTTTAATTTACACTATAGAGATATCTAGAATAAACAAAATGGATACCTACCACTTAGTACCCAGCTATCTGTGTAACTGTGGCTGTGGCACATGACACCCCTTTTATGATTTGATTTGTCTTCCCAATTAATACTTTTTAAAGAATGGTATACTTGTGGTTGATGAAGATGGCTCTTACTTTTTCCAGTATGGTTTCCTCATATGGTTATTAAAAATTGTGGTTGTGCAATGGATGGTAATGGACGTGGCCATGACCAAGTTCTAAAAAGATGGTTTGGAAAAGGGTCATATTACTAAGAGATGGTCAGTGGGAATTTACCCCTGAACAGGGATGAAAGACTGTCAATCACATCAACAATGTGTTACTGCCATCTGTACTTCCAAAACAGGGTTTGATATGTGGTCAGGATGATATTTAATTTTATTAAATCCACTGGCAGAATATATGCCAATTTTTTTCCGAATGTTTGTGAAGAGCCAAAATGTGTAGAGGTCTACACTATTGGTCAGCCTACCTTATGTTTAAAATAGAGCAAAGAGTTTGCCAGATTGAGAGCTTATGTGATGTATATGTAACAGTTTTTGAAAAGTATTTATTTCTGAACAATAAAGATTGTTAGAAAATATTTAATATATTACCGTGTTACCTTGTTCCATGAGTCAAAGTACTCTTGTAACTAATAAACACACTAATAACTTCATTGTTCATGGTTAAATCCTTGACAGTTTCAGCTGTCATTCTGACAGCCATCTTCAGAACTTCTGAATTCGTCACCAGATGGCAGCAGGTCCCAGTAATGTCACCAGATCCACAAACTAGGAGTAATCAGAACTTTATTCGACCGAGCCAACACTATAGTAAGATATATAAGAAGAAGACAGACAGTCGGAACTAGTGAACATTAAACAAGTGCCGCAGAGCGACTGGGATCATCTGAGGTCTGTTGCTACGGTTATAAACGTAACATTTCAGTCATGCGTAGTGACACCTTTGTTAGGCGCAGATATGCAGATACGCAGTTGCGTACACATCATTTCAGCAAACATTTTTTTATTGCAGAGAGAGCGAGAGAGAGGAAGAGAGAGAGGGGGGCGAGAGAGAGAAAGAGAGAGAGCAAGCGAGAGGAGAGAGAAGGAGAGAGTCAGTCAGACTAAATTGTTTATAAACAAATAACACCCACGCAGCGCGCTACTGTATCAGTTACGTCATCGATTGAAATGTACATTCTGATTTCGCCGCGCGGCGTTCAAACTTTCGACGAAGATGGCGGGCAGAGGTAAGGTAGACGCACGTATAACGTACAGATTTCTTCAATGTCGGGGAGGATCAAACACATTTCGACTGACAGTCAACCATCGGGCTCTGCAAGCCAGCATGCTCCACCATATCCCGACATTGCACACTACTGTAACGTTGACGGAGAGAGCCATGCCAAGGACAGTACAAAACTGGCAAATTTTCATTGGTAGGTTTGACGATTCAATTCTGCAATTACTTATCTCAAGGTTGATTAAACTGAAGTTAAGAAAGTAATTCTTTCTGCACTTTTAAGTGCAATATACATTTGACCTATCCTGCCGGGACATTCTTCTCACTCTGTTCCGATAGATGGCGTGCATACTGCATCGTATTACGTAGACTGGCACCCGGTCCCACCTCTCGGCTTAGTTACTCGATGGAGCAAGTACCAGTCTACGTTTAGCCCATGCTGTGATACTATCAGCCATGCTATCAGCCACCCACCTGTGAGGTAGTACTATTTATAGTTGGCCTTAAAGGCATAATTCGACCATCGATTATGCAAAGTTGACGAATGCTACAGTAACTGGCACCTTGTGTAGTTAATAAGTACATTACCTTATAGCCAAACGCGTATTAGTTTGTCCAATATCACTGCTAATTATTAAGAAATGTCTAATTGAAATCCGTAAATTTGGTAATCTGGCGACAACGCTAAATTTATAGCCAACAAAATAAACATCGAGTTCGGTTCGGTGACGTCACATGTTGCTCCAGGATGTTGAGCATCGAATTGTTTGTCCCGGGTAAATTGTTTGCCTAGTGTTATTATTTGCCTAGTTGCCACATATTATATGTTGCTTGTAATCTCAAGAACTTCGTATATTCATTTATTCCCGAATCCCAAGAGTAAAACCATAACGTACGGAATGCGCACTCAGACTACAAGGATCGAAATCACTGACGGCCGAGCATACGTGCGAAAATGTCCGGTGCACTATAATCTGTATGACACCGCCTCGCCGGTTTCGGCCGGTTACGGCCGGCATGGCGGTTTGTAACTGTCAACAACCGATTTCTTGGACTGCGGATTTCAATTGGACATTTCTTAGTAACCAGCAGTGATATTGGACAAACTAATACGCATTTGGCTATAAGGTAATGTACTTATTAACTACACAAGGTTCCAGTTACTGTAGCATTCGTTAAAATTGCATAATCAATGGTCGAATTATGCCTTTAATCAAAAACAGACGTTTGTGTAAGTGCTATTGACATTGTATTCCCAACGTAGAGAATCTCATATAGAGAATGAAGTTCATATATGATTTAAGGCGCGTAAACGTTGTTCGAGTAAGTTTTGCATGCAGAATTTCACTGTGAAATTTAAGTTCCACGATCACACAAGTACCATCAAACACAGTTCAGTCCTTTGTTAACAGTCAACAAATCCATGTTTAACCCTCCTCTTGAGGGTCAAAAGGTTACCAGACACTTACTCTTCGCACGTCAGTGGAAAGCACATTTCATGGTCATTTCAATAAAGCCATAAAAATAGTAGGTCACCGCTGAAACAAAAAAGTTTTTCATTCGCTCCGTCAGACCATGTCCTCAGAAAATGTCTAAAATCTGCCCTGTGCCCCATTGACCTTTGACACGTGACCTCTAATTTGACAAATACGTGAGTCTATCCACATACGCAAACACCCCCACACTATGAACAGAGATAATAACGGTCATACAAACTGTCATATGTGTACGACAACATTCTCAGGCCCAGGACCAGACCATCGGCCCCGGGGGCCCCACCGACCAACATCTGACAGTTTTCGGATCACTGTCACATACTGCCATCTAGTGACGAATTCAGAAGTTCTGAAGATGGCTGTCAGAATGACAGCTGAAACTGTCAAGGTAAATAATTTAAGGATTTAACCATGAACAATGAAGTTATTAATGTTTTAAAAGAAATTCGACTATGAACTTTCAAGATTTAATAAACACGTTTCTTTGCCCATAAAATAAATGCTTGCAGCTTTATTCAGAAATAACAAGTAATAAATATGGATACATCTTTCTTTTAACCCCAATATAAGCTTGCGGTAAGGAGAAACGGTAAACCACTTTTTCCACTTCAGTTACATTCTAGTACAGCATAATTTAAACTGCTTCCTCGATTTACTGGAATAGTAGATGGATATGCCCTCTGCGCTGATCCTCTTAGAGATCACTATCATAAATAGTAAATGGCAATATATTTCAAATGCACTTGAACAGACATATCTTATGTTTATACTTGAGTATATACTTGAGTTCAATACAGACCAACAGATCCCGCTACAAATAGACATTACAGCATGAAACTGGATGCGAAAATGTCATACCATCAAAAACTTGGTCTAGACATTCCTATCTTAGTTGGTGATACATTGCGTGTTAGATCCCCTTCATCTGAGCCATCAGTTCTTCCAGACTTTGTTCAGTCTCCTCTATGCTCTCGCCCTCCTAAAATATGCCCGACAAATACTCAAAATGAATTGGACATCTCATGGGAAAACCTCGCCAATCTGATCAGTTGGTCCACATTTAAGTTGAATGCAATTTTTGCATAGTAGTTTTCATAACAGTGTAGCAATGAATCACTAAGGAAGAGTGTGTTATCACTAAGGAAATATTATCCCCTCTATACACTAATAAAACAGGTTAAAAAATGAAGCTAAAGTCACGAAATAAAGTGCTTTGTACAGTGCCAATGTGTCTATGCAATTTTAAGATGACACTGAACGTTTAACATTTCAAAATCATGCAGCACTATCCTATGACTGCGCAGACTTCAAAATTTGAGGAACATTTTATCAGAAAGATGTCGAACCTGAGTATTAGTGACAGGCTTGGTGTAGGCTAATCTGACACCCTCCACAAGATCGGGAACAATTCCTCCATCCACTGCATGCAGCACTTCCTCACTTGTCTCATCAACTAAGCTAATACCTGCAGCAAAATAACACATACATACACACACATATATATATATATATATATATATTATTCATTTACTTAAAAAAAAATAAAAGCTTGTATATGGTATATTATATGAGCTTGGAAAAGCTTGTAAGTTCGTTATGTGACAACTCAATTCAATTCATGTAGGGACAGAAAGGGATTGAAGATTTCCCCATGTAAGGACATATTTTACCATCAAGTTAAAGGGAGAGTTTACTCTAGGTTCTAAGGTTATTTTCAGCTAATTTAGGGTTATAATTACGCTACATAAAAGTTTCATGGTTCAATCACCATTAGAAATATTTTTTTTAATGTTTTAAAACTAACGACTACAGTTTGATTACAATGACGGTGGCGCCACTCAAAGCGCATGATCAGATAAGTTGCGCAAAACCACTTTCCAGCCAAGGGCTACAGACCGAGGGTGTTTCTTATTTATTCATTTAAAAGCAAAAGGATTGTAATATCTTATAAACGACATATAGTTTCAGTTATAATATGGATAAATTTTCCCTAAAATGAATATCGTTCGGTTAAATAGCATTTAGGTATAAACATAATTGCACTTTTGTGATTAGCCCTCGGTCTATAACCTGCAAAATAAATTGTCAAATACGCAACTTTTTCGGGGTGGCAGCACGGTCGCGGGTGTCATGGCGCCGTTCAAATTTCGTAGCGTTGATGTGTTCAAATACGTGTGGGTATAGATGATTTGTTATACAGTAAGTACAGTTGTATGCAGTAAAATCCTAGAGGCTACTGTCCCATTAAATTAGCAACTGTTATCGGCGCAGGAAAAGGTCTCCCGTTGACACCAAAAACCTAGCATGCTGTGTCACCAACTGGTTAGATGTGTTACTGTACTTTTTGTACACAAAAAAGATTACGACGATCAAACCTAATAGCACTGCCTGCTATAACAGGGCATACAAGAATTGCTTAAAATTAGATCAAAATTAGTCAAGTGTTAACATATTCAGCAGTTTTCCGAGTCGTGCAATACATGGGAGAACATCTATTTGTTATTTAATTGAAGGAGTCCCTTGCTAAGGGTGACCTCAACCTTCCAGTGAAATAGCTAGACAATGACATAGCACACACACACAGAGACACACACGTACCCCAGTCATTCTCTTCATGCACAACCTCATCCGTGGCGTCTGAAACTGGACCCTGTTCGCAGGTGGTGACCACCCTCTCCTGTAACATGTAATGCACATAAGTAGGTACATGCATGATTGCAATGTAATGCATTATTTTACTCTTTACTGCAACGATGTAGAGTTTACTATATACTCAATCATGCAATATTGAAAAGTCCATTGGATATCCATAAAGAACTATAATAACAGAAGTTAATGAAAACAAAAAAGGTAAAATATGTTTATATTCACTCCTGATACTATGGAAATTATATCATATATATTACTATGAACCATGGGTGTAATTAAGACCAGCAAATAGTGAAGGTTATAAAAGTTCTTCATATTGCACCTGGTACAAAAGCTGCTGCTTCACACAGTAGCGGTCGTCACATTCCTGGTTCGGTTTCATTGACATGGTGGGAAAGAAATCCTCCATCGCATTGTAACCAACATAGTGTGATACTTTTCCAAACTTCAGCAAGAGCCTGTGATCAATGGAAGCATCAGTCACTAATACACAGGGAAGCTCAATCACCAATACATGCTGGTGACAACTACACACTAAGCATCGAGTGTTGCTGATGGCAGCAATGTCTAGAGTTGCAGGTGGGTGACAACTGAACTATGCACAGCGCACTGAATTTTGCAGGCAATAGCTCTGCACAATGCATTGCCTCACCACATAACACAGCACACCTCTTGAATGCACTTGTAACGTAGTAGAGCCACAAGAGGATGTAGGAGTAGAGTACATCATAATGAAGAAGGACATTAGGCAATTGATAGAAAGGTTAACACCAATATTATATGACATTATTAATGTCCTTATTGTGATTGATTGATATTCCTAATACAGTGCTGCCACTCAGGATATTACAAAAAAAGTATAAAATCTGTCCAGAAAAAAAGTATCAAAGTTGTCTAAAAAAAAGTATAAAAAAAAGTATAAATTTGTATCAACCTACATTGATTTGTAGTCACTTGTTACCCTATACCTTATTGTTACCGAATACATTATAGCCTATGTGCAGCATGTATACAAGCTTCAGGAATGATGTGTGCAATGTCTTGAGGAGTTGTCTCTTGAACCCTCAGTTTGGAACATGCAATGCAGTCCCTTGGCCAGAAAGGTCTGTGAGGCAGTAAAATTTGTTGTGGTGTTTGTGTGCTTCAAGGTCCTAGCAGAGGAGTGCATGTGCTAACCCCCCACTTAGGGGGTTCCGGGGCGTGCTCCCCCAATTTGTTTTCTAAAAAATGGTGCAATTTGGTGCATTCTAAGCTATTTTGGACACATTGTATGAGACTCTTGAATCTATTTTTCAAGTTGCCAAAAGTTTTGTCAGCGAGGCGGGTTTTTGGACAAATTTTAGTGTGGCGGCTGAGAATTTGAGCGAGGCGGGCCGCCTCGCTCGTGTTAATGCAGGGGAAACACTGCAATGCTCTGTCATTTGGTCACTGACAGCAGAGAGCTGAAAGCAAAAACACTCCACTGAACAGAGCACACCATCACGTCTGCAACAAGACTAGCAAAGCACATCTTTAATCTCATCAAATATAGTGTTCCTAAATGTAAGTCTGAAGAGTTTTGACCATCTTTGGCCAAAAAAAAACATTTAAAAGTATAAAGTGGCAGCACTGCTAATAGAGTATGGGGTGATGGGGCGTTTGGAGATGCAGCCATTAGCATTTGCCCAGTGGTAATTAACCATAGGCATTGATAGTATGATAATATGAACCAGGAAAAACGGGATCAGGCCAGATCCAGGCACGAGGCCCACGACTGGACGAGAGCAGTGGGCCCACACAAGAGGGAAGCCTCCACTATAAAGGGAAGTAAAGATCAAGATCTTAGGGAGAAACTCGGGGACTTGTGGGCACTTGATGGCTGATGTGTAAAATCTACAAACGCCGACTCTACACACTCACCGGCTTCTTAACGACGGCTAATTATATTTGCAGCTGCATCCTCATTGCCACATCTACATTACTATTTACACCTGTGAGTTTAATACATTGCAGATTTCATCGCTGCCTGGCTTACTTTAGCGTGTTCTGTACAAGTAAGGCTGACACGATGCCCATGGTCGTCGGGAGGCTGGCTGCACACACACCATCCTTCTTCAACGTTTTCTCATCAATGTTGGATGCCACCACAAGAGGTGGAGCGCACTGAAAACATGACACAGATCAACACCCACCAGCAATCATTATGCCGATATATATGAATAGTCAATACCATTACTGTTGATAAAACAATATGGTTCCACACTAGGCAGGTAATGGTAGTTTTCTTCACGTGTGGAATGATGTGTATGTGAATGAATATTAATTATATTATAATATATGCTGGCCTATTTATTTATTTATAATAGTATATGAATGTCTGTATGTATCATTCCTAGACTTTTTCATTTCCCTTCTTATTTATTGCCCCTGCTCTTCTTCCTCACTACTTATACCATGATGATGTACCACATTCATTGATCCTGGTACCCTTCCTTCTTACCTTTCCTTGTTTTCTCTCCCAATTCTCCCATATATTATACATACGTATATACGTACATACCCATGTACACATGCTCGCATGCGTGCATGCAATCACTCAGGCACGCACGCTCACATGCAGACACACAGGCATGCATGCTATAGCAGGGTGGTGAACAACCTAAAATTCAAACATGTCAAACTGGGAACTTGCGGCCGGGGTCCAGCTCAGGAGCTCAGGGGTTTTAGATGCTCTCTGGTGCAATCTGAGCCTTATTTCGGAGCATTTTTGCACAGAAATTATTATCTATATTTCAAAATAATTTGGGTTGAGTCAAGAGTCAGGAGTGATGAGTCATTTTTCATTGTTCAATTTGTATAATAGTGTTAATGTAACCAGCAAAATGTTATAAAGCAATGTGCGAAAAATGCAAATAAATATACTATAAGGTGAAACTATATTTCGCTATATTTTGTTCGGATTGAGTGCCGTGACTGAGTAGAAATCTCGTAATAAAAGCTTTAAATTCCCAGTTTCTTTTTCCTTATTGCTACCCAGGCATCTTCTGCTGCCTCATGGAAGCTAGGTGATGTCCTGAGCTGATGGGCCTTCCACAGACACCATCAGAAATAGGCTGGTTATTGTGAGCTGTTTTTTATTCATGGCAGATTGCGAAGCGCTATGATATGAGAGTCATGAGACTCAGGACAAGTGAAAGTCTATGTCGGACAAGTTATTCGTTTGGCTAGTTGCCCGATTGGACCACTAAAAAAATTCTAGTTGTGTAATATTCCTAACATCCTTTGAGCCAGGGTGCCATCGCACGACATTCTCACATTATATTTTCAAAGGTCGACGAAAAAAGCGGCCCCCGAGGCACGCGTCTGTGGCTGTGCGCATCGACGCTGTGTACGTGCCTGCTGGCGGCATTGATTGAAGTACGGGGGAGGGGCACTATTGTTTCAGTCGCGTGGTGCTAATCACTACTAAAATGTAGGGGGTGGGCAGCGCTGGACTATAAGCCGTGTTCACACGGTCATGATTTGGCTCGAGCCAAATGGGCTAGATTTGGCTCGAGCTAAATTTGGCTCGGGCCTAATTGAGTCGGCGCGTTCACACGTACGCAAGTGAATACTGTCTGTCAAATTCAAATTCAAA